TAATAACTGTGTCAACATTTTTGGTATTAAACTTTACTGTTGGTAAAAAATTTAAGGGCATTCATTTGAAGTAATTCAAAATTCATAGCAATTAGGCATTGAACATTTTCGATAGTCCACGAAAATGTTTCAGATAAAAATTACTTTGTTCGTAGAGGAAAAGAAAACAGTGATCTTGAAAAGATATCTTTAAGATCAGGTCAAGGTTGAAAATGTTTTATACAATAATTGAAACCCTCATTTTTTAATTATACATTAGAGCTGACTTCAAGACCTTATTAAAATATTACAATAAACCTTATTAAAATATTACAATAAAGTTATTTTTTATTAAGTATTTTCCAAATTATGAAGCTTTACAGTCCCACCAATATAAGGATTATCCAAAGTGTCCGCTAATTAAAATCTCTTAAATGTTGTTTTTATGACATTGACAACATGTCAAAATCAAGACCAAAAACTATTCCTTCCAGATAGACAAAAAGATGATCTTTTCGATTTCTAAAAGATATCTCACCGTCCTGCAATATCTTTTTTTTACGAAAAGACATCTTTTAGGGACTTAAAAAAATGTCTTATGCAATAGTTTAAGATATGTTTCAGATATCTAGAAATAACTTATCTGAAAAATAGAATTAAGATGTCTCACAGATATTTTTTAATTCCATTTAAGAAATTAAAGATAACTTTCATGTGACCTTCAAGCAACTATTCAAGATCAAACTAATGCCATCATATGTTTCTCTCAAAGCCATACAACTTTTGTCCTGAAACATTTTTTTTTAAATCAAAAATAAAAGTTATTTGGGGTGGGACATTAAAATGGGACACCCTGTACATATAAGTAGTTCAAACCAATTGAAGGAGTCAGCATATATGTATTCTTAATGAAAAATTCGAGTCGAAAATGTTAATAGCAAAATGTTGAGATATCTCAATAGTTTTTGAATGATGAGTCTTTGAAACCGTCTAACCATGGCGTATGAAGATTGCGCCGTCAAACGCACCACAGTCTAGCGGCCAGTCGCGCGAATGCTTTAACGAATATCGCTAAACGTCACGATGCTGAATAAGTATTGAAAATTCCGTAAAATCTCTATCAACGTGTACTGCTGTGTTCTTAAATTGCGCCCAATTTAATACGAAAAGTAATTTCAATTGCAAAAAGTGTATATTTTTGAAATACACATTTTAAATAATAAACAAATATTAATAAATTAAATCATTATTAATTAAATTACCCAAACAAATAATACTATTTGGATTGTAATTTAGTTTTGAGGGTTTGTTTTCTTAAAAATTGATTGATTTAAACAAGATAATGAATACTTTAATCAAAATATTTTCTTTCGTTTTGTGTAGTAATAATTTTTTCCCATCTTTCTGATAAAAGAAACCATGATAAAAAGATTTATTTGAAATTGATCCAATTTTCAACAAATTTTCGCACATCTTCGAAATTATAAAAGTGTATATCTTAGAGCATGTTGCCAGAGACCCGAACCGAATCAAAATCGAAACCGAAAACCGTTTTTTTTTTTAGTGAATCGAAACCAAAATCGTACCCAAATTTTGTATAGTTTGTAATACCGAAACCGTAACCGAACTGATAAAATTTTATGATTTTTTTCGGTTCTGGTTCCGGTTTAATAAAATATTAAATAAATGTTCCGGTTTCAGTTTTTTTTTACCAGTAAAAAAAATTGAAACCGTAAAAATTACGATTTTTTTCGATTCTACTTACTTGCTTTATTTTATTTATTCTTTAAATTTGTTCTATTAAGAAGGAGAAGAGGGAAGAGAGAGAGAGAGAGAGAGAGAGAGAGAGAGAGAGAAAGAGAGAGAGAGAGAAAAGAGGCCTCAATTAATCATAGACTCTGAATAAAAATTATGTAAATGTGGCGGCTTAAAACACCACTAATCGAGTCGCCGGGGCACGCGCGCGATCCGCGCCACCCCTAAGTCGCTCGCACAATGCCGCGCTTGACGTTGACCGAACGCCCGCCCAGCGCGAGTCCCGACCACCCGCCCAGCGCGAGTCCCGACCGCCGCGAGATCACGCGGCAACCCGTATGCAAGAATGATTCATCATGCATATGTAGAAATAGGGCTCTGCGGGAGGTCCTCAGCATCTTCTCAGGATAGAGTGAACTCCGTCAAGGACTCTATTCTGGTGACAGAACATTTTTGTATGTAACCCGATAAAGCGAGCTCTTTTTGTCTTTGTTACCCTCTCAAAGCGAACTCCTGTTCAAGAGCCTTTGCATTTAATCAGCAAAGCGAACTCGTTTACGAGCCTTTTATATCCTTACGAAGTGAGCTCGTTATCGGGCCTTCGTGGAACAGAATCTCTTCACTCGAGTCTCTGCGGGATTCTCTTTCTGGCAACGAAAAGTCTACAAACTACCACGGAAACATCGCCGGTCCCCCTGGCACTAATATTTGTTTATTACTTATTAAATGTGTATTTAAAAGACACACATTTTTTAATTATGTTTTATCGAATTGAAATTACTCTTCATCAAATTAAATTGGGCTTAATTTAAGAATACAGTAGTTTAGAGATTTCATGGAATCTCTTCAATACTCATTCGGCATCGTTTAGCGTTAACATTCATCAAAGCACCTGCGCGGTGCGTCGGACCTGATAGCGCGAACTTTACACGCCGTGATTCGATAGTTTAAAAGGCTCGCCATTCAAAAACTATCGATACCTCAATATTTTGCTACTAATATTTTCGACTTAGTTTTTCACGAGTAATACACTGTACATACGGTTCTTCCGATTAGTTTGGATTTTATATACAAATTATACCACAATTATTGACAAAACGCTTCTGTATAGATAAAGTGGACTAAACTGAGTTCTCTACCACTTTGCAATTTTCGTAATAGTTAATAAGATGTTAATTACTTAAAAACCAAATATTTTTTTCAATATTTTTTTATTCAAGTACTATAAACTTTACAGAAAAATAGCTAGTAACAAAAATTATTTATTACTTTTCGATTCAATTTAGTCCGCTAGCACAAGATCGCTTTGTTAATAATTGAGGGACACTCACTATACATACAACTATAAATACAACTACTTTTAATTCGCGCCATGAAACTTCGAAAATTTCATAAAAATTTTTGATCTAATGCATATATGTACAGAATGAATAGAGTCCTGAATCAATGAAATATCTCTAACACGAAGCATTTTTGAAAAAAATAATTTAAATGAAAGTCATAGGATTTAAAAAGATTTATTTACTGATTACATCTGTTTGACCCTGGCATCAAGATCAGATCACTTTTTAATGGAACACTATTTTTTATTTCATATTTTAATAGCTGACATCAAGAGTTATTTAAAACATTACAATAAAGTTTATTTTCATCAAGTTTTTCGAATTATGAGACTTGAAATTTATAGTATCGCCAGCATTAATATTACCCAAAGTTTCCGACTTTACATGTTTTTCATTACATTGTTCAGTAAAAAAAATGTACCTGTAGACAAATTGTACAAATTGAGAAACGTAGTCATTTCTGAATTTATAGTATTCCCGAATGTAGTTCACAATTTATTACATATGTGTATGTATGTACGTAGAAAAAATATCAATATAACTTGTAGTATTTGTAGCGTAACTCAAACATTGTTACGGAACAGTGAACTTGACATCAGTTACTACATTATGAAATAAAAAGTAGTGCCATTTAAAAAAATTAGGATGATTTTGAATTTTCCTAAAAAAAATATTTTACAAATTTTTAATATTGTAATTTGTAGTCAATTGAAAATTGACTAATTTTTATTTAAAATAAATTTTGTCAGATTATCAGAAGTGCCGGAAAAATCGTAATCACAGTTACATGGGATACCCTGTATATACGTTTTCTCCTTGTATATATACATTATATACAGTGAGTAAAAATCCCGTAAAGATACAATATCTCGAAAACAAAGCATTTTCCAGAAAAATTCAGACCAAAGTCTTAGAATTTAAAAAGGTCTATTAATTAAGGTTTATTAATTACATTATTTCTTAATTATTTCTATTTAAACTTGAATCGCCAAACTTAGGTCAAGATCATATAGATTTTTTAAACGGGGCACCCTATTTTGATTACAGAATTTAATAGTTGATGTCAGGGCTTTATGAAACGATATAATAAAATTCATTTTTATTAAGTATTTTTCGAGTTATAAGACTTGAAATTTACAATATCGTCAAGATTACCATTATCCAAGATGTCCAATCGACAGCTGAAACCTCTTGAATGTTATTGAGTATCATAACCTAGATAACATTTATCAAAATTGAAGAAATTAGAGATTGTTCTTCTATAAATTAAAATTTTATTTTTACGTAAAAATGAAAATAAGATGAACAATCTCCAATGTTCTAGATCTTAATAAATGTTATCCAGGTAATCCTGAACAACATGTAAATTTTAATAAAATAAATAAAAATAATTTTTCGTGAAAATGTTTTCGTTCATCGATCTCACACATCTGATTTTAAGGTCATTTCAAGATCATAATACAGCAGGTCATTGAATTCGTCTTGATCAGTTATAATATTATGAAATAAAAAATACGTAGTGCCATTAAAAAAAATTAGGGTGACCTTGACTTCTTCCTAAAATATTTTGCAAATTTTTATTGTAATATTGCAATTTGTAGCCGATTGAAAACTGACTAATTTTTATTCAAAATAATTTTTGTTAGATCATCGGAAGTGCCGAAAAAATCGTAATCACAATTATATAGGATACTCTGTATAAGTTATTCATTATTTGCCTTAAATTACATTTTAATATATTTATCCTCTATTGATCTATTCCAATCAATTATAGAAATTGACATTTATATTGAAAATTGATATTTATCATTGTCATGAAATTTGTTGAAATAATAGGAGATAAATAACAATAATACGGAAGTCGATAATATTACAAATAAATTATAATTCATGACAAATAATTTTAATTATATAAAATTTAAGCAGGCTCAGGAAAGGCATGGTAGCGCGGAGGATAGAATTCAAAGACTGGAAACACAATTAGAAGAAAAGAATGCAGAAGTGATGCGTGTTAATCAACGATTAAAAATGAACGAGGAACATAATACACGTCTTAGTACAACTGTTGATAAACTTTTATCTGGTAATTTTCACGTAATATTATTTCTATATCAGATAGGCCTAATTGCTTGTGGGAATGTAAACAATTATTTGGATTATATCAAGAACGAGAAAATATGC